TCCAGCACTGCATCGAGTCCGGAGTTTCAGAGCTGCGTCATGCGCATTGCAAATGCACCCCAGAAACTACGCAAATGGGAAAGCAGGTAAGCATTGGCATTTTTAGACTTTTCTTGGTGGTGGTTAATAACCCAAACTGTTGCTGCTGTCCTTCGTATTGAGTGCGCATTTTAAACTGCGTAAAAGGGCCATGACCTGGTTTATCTGGATATATTGCGTCATAATGCAGTCTTAAATGCATTTCAGTAGTATCAGCGTAACAGCAGGAAATTATGCCTTTAAACAGGTATACACATTGTAATCTGCTTATGACATTTATTTTTTGCTTAATCAAAATGTTCTTATATTTCAGTTAGTTTTGGAAAAAGGATTTTTAAAGCTGCGCATACTGTTAAACGAGGCGCCATTCTGTTAGCTGGGTAACAGTTCTGTTAACTGCACATATGTTGTGTCATCTTTCACGGTGAATGTCAAATCTGCTGGGGCGTACATTGTTTGTTGGTTTTATAAAAGATTTAAGTACACAAAATGCTAAAACCCAAAGCGCTTACTCAAGTTTTAAGCCAGGCAAACACGGGCGGAGTCGAGAATACCCTGTAAGTTCAAACCAGTCCACAGTACAGCAGACAAATAATTTTTTGTCCCTTGCAGTCTGCTTAGCCAGGAGGGCGCTCTGCTGGCCTATTCCGGCTATGGAGATAAGGATGCACGCATAACGGCAGCCATTGCCAGCAATATTTGGGCTGCCTACGAGAAACACGGCCGTAATGCGTTCCGCGAAGATCGTCTGACCTTTGTGCTAATTGACTGCGAGTGCGGGCATGTGGCCATCACACAGGTGGGTGGTTTTCTCCCTTTAGCTGGGAGTTTTATATGTATTGATTGACTCCTGCAGGTGGCCAGTGTGCTGTTGTGTCTGTATGCCAAGGAGCATGTCGGCTTGGGCATGCTAAAACAGAAGACCATGTCGTTGGCTGCGTATTTGGAGAGGCCGCTCAAGCAAATCTCTGCATCCTAACGAGCGAAAGAGCAATCATAGCCTCGGTTTCGATTAGTTTTAAGTGTAATTCCTGTTTTGTAGTTGATAAACATATAAAGTACGTTGATAGCTTTTGGATCGGAAATAAAGAAGAGTCTGGTTTATTTACGCAGAAATTGGTTTACGCACAAGAGCAGTTAAATATGTATACATATATTTATAAAATGTTGAACTTATTGCTAACTATGGATCGCCGTTTGCCTAAATTAAACAAGCCGCTTTTATTCGATGGCATACAGCTTCAAGGTGCGATCCATGCTGGTGGAGGCAATATACTGCGCATGCTTGCCAAACCGCACGCCGGTGGCCAGTGCCGTGTGGTCGTTGAATACCTTCAGATCCTGCCACTGCTTACACAAGTAAACCCTGTAAAATGTAAAAGAAAAGTGTAATCAATAAGCTTTTGCTGTGCCTAGCAACACGGTAAACAACCGCTCAAAATAATTTTGTTAGTGTGCTTGTTTGAATAATGAAAAGATTTAAAAGAAAAATTTACCGCAAATATGAAGGTAAGCTAAAAAAAAAACAATCATACATCTGTAGACAAGTAACTAATAGTTCTTTCTCACAGATTACATACGACCGCAGGACTATTTGGAACCGGACGCACCAAAACCCATCAACCTCTGTATTGATGATTTTAATGCGGTAAAAAAAAACTATTGAAGCATGTTTCATATAATTGGACTGATTCTTTTCCTATTACAGCGCGGCGAAGTTGCAAATCCGCGTGCGCCTTGCGTGGTAACCACCATAGATCCAGATTATATCAAGGATGCAGGTCGGCAGCGTCTGGCCAAAAAGTTTCGCATGAAAACGTCTGTTATCCACATATCTATCTAAGCTTTCGCAAAATTAATTCTTTTCCCTTTATAGTGATATATTACTGCTTCGTGAGATAACACGCAATAAGTTTATGTGCTACTCAACGCAGGAAATGTTTTTGGATAGAAAACGTGAAATGGAGCACCAGAACAAGCTGTACCAGGAGGCACAGGAGTTTCACAAGCTTGCCGATGATGCGCTGAAGCAAATGAAGGCAAACGAATTTAAGAAAATGCTAGAGGCGCAAGAAAATCTAAAGAAGCTCAAGGAGAATAAAGTGGCTGAGGAGCTCAACCAGGTGAAGCTGCAGCATCAGCGTGTGCTTATGGAGGTGCAGGAGATCTACGGGCGCTTTCAGTATTTGCTCAAGCTGATAAGCTACTTTGACGACACGTTGGAGCAGCAGTCAGAGCAGTTGGACAACAAGCTGACCATGCCCGAGCACATAATCAACATGGAGATCAGCGAACGACATCCGGCTGGCCTGGAGCAGGTGCAGCAGGTTAAGGAGTATATGGAGCATGTGGTTCGGCCGTATTTGGAGAAGCGTAATCATTTAAATGCTGATATTTGGATCAAGGGCTACGAGCGAAATCGCCTGAAGGTGTCCAACTACAACAAACGGTTCACACAGCTGGCGCTTCTCAATCACATTGTGTGCATACTCCATGACAAGGCGGTGAGTTTTTGGGTTTTCCTATTAGGCTTAAGTGTGCAGCACAGCTTTCTTTTCAATTGATTGCAGGAGAAGACACAAAAGCGAAATGCGAGTGCCGTGGTATTTCTCAAGGATCCAGAATTTCTGCAACGCCGCGTGGCTGCACTGCAGCAACGCGCCCACGAACTATTTGACGATTATGAGCAGTCTTACTGCAAGGAGTAAGTCTGAACTTAGAGAAAATGCAACAAATATTTAAAGCATATAAATTTGTTCTTTCTGCAGCAAACTGAGCTTCAAATTGAATAGCATTGTGCCCGTGATCCTGAAACAGCTGCAGAACAAGGTGCAACCGGCGCAACTGCCAAAGAAGGAAGCAGTTAAGACACCGCCACAAAAGTGCTCCAAGCAATGGCGTACACTGGAGGACATGCGCACGCCAGCGGCGCACACAACGAGCGCTATCTACAAGGACGAACAAGACACAACGCTGGCTAAAGTGGAGAAAATACAAACATTTGCATTGGTAAGTGACAGCTCCTTCCATATAGAAGTCATAGATCACACACGTTAACTTTTAATGCAGGAACTGCTTCGGAAACTAGATGCCATACCGCCGGCTGATCTGCGCCGACTTGAGCAGCGCGTGCGACGGCGCATGGCTAAGCAAACGGAGATGTCGCGCCGTGCGCTGGTCAAACAAAATAGGCTGCACAACTGGATGGAGCACTTTAAAAAGCATCATCGCCTGCAGCAGGCAGAGCGCAACAAGCATAAGGTTTAAACCCGGACTGCATCACATATTTCTCACAACGCTTAGACGTATAACAGGTATATATTAATAAAGTAAAGCTCACCTGACATCAGTGCCGGCAATGGCCAGATATGTGCCGCTCTGATCGAAGCACAGATCCTTGACCTCGTAGCCATCGTCTAGTTGTATGGTCTTGAAATTCTTTAGTTTGCGCAAATCCCACAGCTTTACGCACGCATCGTCCGCTGCAGTGGCCAGATAGTAACCGTTTTCGGAGAACGATATAGCCGAGATGGGGCCGGTATGACCAGGGAAATTGGCCACATTGCTCTGCTCCTTCAGATCCCAAATCTTTACTTGAGAATCAACTGTGCCAGTGCCAAAAATCAAACCATCCGGATGGAATTGAGCGGTTGTCAGGCCCACCTCAGCCGTGTCGATGACCTTCGTCAGCAGGCGTCCAGTGCGTATGTCCGAGAAGGCCCAGTGTTTGTCCGAAGATGTGGACAACAAGTAGTCGCCCGTAGGATGCAGCGAGAGTCCTGTGACGGGCCCCTCATGGCAGCGCAACAAGAGCTGCGTTTGCGATGTGGGCACATGCCAAATGCGTATGTTCATGTCTGGTGAGCCGGTGATGACAGTGTCCTCGTTGGGATGGTATATGACCTTGGTGATTTTCTTGGTATGGCCCTTCAGTATAGCCACCACTTGTTCCGTGTCCTTGTTGAATACAGTAGCATTTTTATCATTGCCACCAGTCAAAATCTTGCTGTGATCGGCGCTATTTATGTCCAGAGCCAGAATACCAGGCACCGATGCCGAGTGCAGGCCTGGACGCGAAGCCACCGTGAGGAAGTTCTTCACTTGATCTGGCGTGACCAGTTCCTCGGGCACCGTGCGTCCACGCTTCTTACGCTCCTGCGTCAGCACAGTGGCTTTGTCCTGCAGCTTCTGTATGACCTCAGCACTCATGCCGGCCTGCTCCATTTGGTGAGCACCACCAGCACCAGCTTCCGCAGCCAGTGCCGGCTCTGAAATCATCGATGGTGCATTCACTATGCCTGCTTGAGGCTTAAGCGTGGCCAGCGCCTCGCGTGCCGCCGTCAGCTCTTTCTTGAGACGCGCAATGACACGGCAGGCGGCATCATGTTGATAGAGCGCATGTGACAGCTCCTGACGAGTGGTCTGCAGCTGCTGGCGCTGGGTAAACGAGTGTATCATCAGCGCATCCCATTCGTCCTGCATGGTTTTCAGTGTCGCCGGTATGCTGGTGGCGCTGGGTGGCTTTGGCTTCACTACTGCTGGCGTTTTGATTTCGATGAGTTCCTCTTGCTTCAGCTCCTTGCCACAGATCGGATCGCAGCCGTTCTCCAGAATATACTTCTCAATGACGCGTCTTTCGAAAACGGCGCCCGAATACGGCGAGACCACAGGCGACTCGGGTACCTCGTTTGTAACTGAAAAAGTGTAAATTAATTGATAAAAAAAAGAATGTACACTCAAATTGGGAGCAACTTACGTGCACAAACCAAAGCCATCGCGACAAGTATTTAAACGTTTTCGGCCGATTAAAATACGTTTTATAACTTTTACACACGTTTTCCGAGAGAAACAAGCGCAAAAATTGTCGGCAAATGAAGCTTCTTACCAATTTGATATTCTCCACGCAACGCAAACGATTACACATATCGATAACGAACAATCGAACTCGTGGTGACTGGCAATTATAGTGCGGCCCATCAGCTGTTGCCATTATTTAAGTTACGCGTGCTTCAGTTTTCCCTTCAGCTCTGTATATTTTGTAAATTATTAATAGAAACATGCTGAAAAACCTAGTGCATTGGCGAGCAGGCAAATTCCTGCTAAATGGAGTCTCGACAGCTGGAGCGAAGCGCTGCTTATGTGCTCCATTTAAAACAGAGACACATGAAAGTGCCGCCCTGGGGGATGCAGAGCCGGCAATTAGGAAACATGTGAATCCCTTTGCACAAACCACAGCAACACCACTGCCAGATAATGGAGTAACTGAATCTAAAGAAGAACGCGATAAGAGGCTGAAGGTGTTGCAGCTGGAAGCAGACATAGCGCATCAGGAGGGACGCCGCGTGCCAGCCTTAGACTTCTTCAAGGAACACCACTGGGCGCACGTGCTGACACTTCCAACCAAATCGGCACGAATCAAATACTATGCATTTCTTTGGCAAATCGAAATGAAAAAAGAGTCGGAGCAACGGAAAAAGTTGCTGCGCGCCGAGGGCACCGAACGCCGCATAGCCGAGATGCGCAAGGAGCGTGAGGAGAACACACATATCATCTATGGACTGGCCCACACATCCATGTTCCTGCGCATCTACGACTCGACCATCAACCATTGGCAGAACAATCGGCTGACACGGGCCATGCAATTCGCGCCCAAAATTGTGCTCGACTGCTCCTACGATGCGCACATGACCAATCGGGAAGCCTCGTATGCCGCCAAGCAGTTAATGCTGTGCTTTGCCGAGAATCGTGCCCATGACGAGCCCTTCGATCTGCACTACTGCAATGCTAATTTCGGGGGGCGCTGCATGCAGAGTCTTGAGCGTTACATACCAACAATGCACAATCCCGAATTTCCCATGAATGTGCACAGCGAGTGCTTCACGAAGCTGTTTCCCAAGCAGCAATTGGTCTACCTGACGCCGCACTGTCGTGAGGATTTGGTCACGTACAATCCGGATGATATTTATATAGTGGGCGCCATGGTGGACACCGTGAACAATGAGCCCCTGTCACTGGCCAAGGCCAAGCGCTTGGGTCTGCGCATGGCACGCCTTCCCTTAGATCAGTACCTGCAATGGGGATCGGGCTCCGGCAAGTCGCTAACCCTTAACCAAATGATTACCATCATGCTGGACCTAAAGAAAACCGGTGACTGGAATGCGGCGCTGCAGCATGTGCCACGTCGCAAGATCATCGACCTGGGCGCGGAACAAGCGCAGGGTCGCCAAGCGCTCAATAGGCGCGCCAACAAGCTCAACGTGCGCATCGATCATCTGCTCAAGTACGAAAACAATCGATCCGAGTCCACGGCGTTTGCCACGCCCCAAAAGGTGCGCCAGCACAAGGAAGGGCTGGACTTTAATTTGGACAGCTGGGCAACGGGCAAAAAGAAAACGAGTCGAAACAAGTAAATATTTGAATTATTTAATAAACTTAGGATATTGTTAAAATTGAGACATGCCAAAAATTAACCATCGAGGGGCTATCCTGATTGAGCATCATGGTATTCACTTTCATCGGAGAGTACTTCCTGTTCCTGTTCAAGATCGTTTGAGGAATCTTCATATTTTTCATGAAACATCAGCTTTGTATCCGCCTCATTTGTAATTTCTTTGTTCAGGTCGCACTCTTCCCTTTGCTCAGTCTCATAATATTGCTGCTCCTGTTCGTCCTTCTCCTGATCTACCTGCTCTGTATTTTTATCCATTGGGGTTTCTTCAAAAACTTCCAATTGGGGTTCGTCATGAATCTCTGTCAGTTGTGCCGGCCATTTATTTGGGCTTGACTCCATTTGCTGCTCATCTTGAATCTCTTCTATCTGTATTTCTCGTTTATCGTTCACATAATCTCCCATCTCAGACAACTCAGCTTGCTTCACTTCCAACGGCTCCTCTGGAAACTCATCCACCGCATCTCCGGCTCCGTGTTGCGTCTTCTTATATTTCAGCTGCATATTCTTGGCATTGATCGCCTGATAGTTGATGCAGGGTCGCAGGCCCGCCTCCTTGAGCAATTCCTTGGCAGTGGTCTCGTATTTTTGTATGTGCTCACGGCGTTCCACGGTCAGCAGCTTCGTCTCCAGCACAAACAGCGCTTGTGCCCGCAGTGCGCCAAAGAACTCTTTGCTCAGGAAGCTGTAGTAGTTGTAGGCCACAAAGGCCACGTCGAAAAAGTCGTGCCAGCGTGGAGCGCCCTTTTGCAGCTCCATCATTTCCATGGGCGAGATGAAGTGCACCTGGACATTGGGCACTGGAATCCATGGCCTGTCGTAGCTCAGCTGCGTCTCGTTGGTGTCGCATTCGTTGTAGGTGAGCAGCGGGGTCATCAGCAGCTGCGTGGCGCCATAGCGCCGGGAGATGGTCTTGTCGTGCTCGTAGACAGTTTGCGTTTGCAGCTCGTGGAAGAGCTCGAGCAGATTGCGCTCGGTCACGTCTGTGGCACGAAAGTCGTTCTCGCCGTGCACCGAGTGATGCAGACGCTCCTCGGAGCTGCGCAGTCCAAAGCCACAAAAGGGACCCGTTTGTATGTCTCCCACGTAGCCACGATGCAGATAGGTGCGTCCATTGCGGACGAGGCCGGCGGCAAAGGTCTTGTTCGGTTTGCAGTGCTCGTATTCGGGGAAGACAAAGGCGACGCCGGATTCACGCCAGTAGCGATACTCCTGGGAGCAAATCTGCTGCGCCTCGCGATCCTTCAGCGTCATGCTTAGGTCCCAGTCAAAGGCGCCCTGCCTGTGATCGTATCGAGTGCCGAGCAGAGCGCGCACTCGCTGCTCCCAGTAGCTTTGTATGTCGTAGACCTGCTCCTGCGGCTGCCAGTAGCTGAAGGCCACTTCCAGGCCGTCGCGCTCCTTGTACTTGAGCGCCTCAATATTGAGCATGGGCGCCAGGCGCTGCAGCTGCTCCTCATCGCAGATCATGTTGAGCAGCGTGCGCGCCTTGGCGGCCACATAATGATGCGAGCTGGGACGCATCAGCGAGTTGCCATAGATGTCCATAAAGAGATGTGCCTTGCACACCAGACTAAACGAATCGGGCGGCTCCAGTGCCAAACCGAGCAGCAGCATATTCCTGGCCATAATCTCCACACAGGCGTCCAGCAGATAGATGTTCAGCTTGGGCTTCACGGCGTGCGTATAACGCTTGGCCAGCGTCTTGATCACATGTCGCGGATCGGCGCCGCCACAGATGAGCATATTGAGCGCCGCGGGCTGGCCCTCAGCCTCAGCTGCGCCCGGCTCATCGGGCAGCTTAAAGGCCTTGATGTACTCCTGGTACAAGTCCAGCGCCGAGCTGAGACCCCAAAACATTTTCTGCTCACTTTAAACGAAAACTACAACGAAAATTGTAGCTCTGATAGCTGCTACTGCTGCTGCCTCATTTGCTGCTGCTATTTATTTGATTGACAGCAGTTGCCTGGACGACTAGCTCCATTGGCCATCAAGCTGTTGCCTGGCAACGTCTTGGCATGTTTTGCATGGACACGCTGTGTCCTTTATTTGACACACCCTCATGCAGACGGCTACTATTACTTAGTCATCACATTTGTAACGCAGAAATGCAGACATATCAGTACCCATAAAGTCTATATATTTCTGATCAGTATGAGTCCATATTGGAGTCCATATAGCAATGTCCATCTGTCCCTTTGTCTGATTCTCTGCAAGCAATTCTCTCAGTTTGAAAGCTGGCATCGTAAAACTTTGCATAGCCTCGGCTTTCTGCTGCAGCCAACTTTTTTGTCATTCTCAATGTCTTGAACTAACAGGATCGAAATCCTATCAATATCGGACTATATATTATATAGCTGCCATAGGAACAATCAACCAAAATGAAGTTCTTGTATAGATACCTATTATTTATTTTTAAAGATTTCTTTGCCAAACTTGGCATCTACGTTGTATAATGCTTCCGGGCGAAACATATCTTGGCCAAACTAAACAATTACCAAACATCATAATGATGCTCTTGCAAAGAAGCCGTATATCGGAGGCACTTCCTAGTCAAGTACAAGGGTATTTGATGTTCGGCGTGTCGATGTTGAGCGATTCTTTCTTGTTTGCATTGCATTCGTTGTGTGGATTAGAAGAAGCGCGTTTCAGTCCAGAGCGGAAATTGGTTTTTGATATCTGCCTGCCTGCAGTCGAATGTGGAAGACAGCGACTTGGCCCAGCGGGTGGCTTCGACCATCCAGGATATGCTGAGATGCTGGCCATAATCGTAATCGCAATCGCAATCGCAATGCATTATTCAGCGCTCGGTTGGCTGCTTTTAGCTGATTGCCTGACTGTGACGCCAATTCCGGCGGGCAATGCACTTTTCGAGCAGCTTAAATAAAAACACATAACTGAAATGTGCGCGAGAATAACTACTTATTAAAATGATAAATAATATTGAGCGTACGACAGGCAACAGAATTGTCTTGTCTTGACTTTGTTCTTCGCCAAATTGAGTTGGCCGTAAAACTGATGTCAGCTATTTGCAGCTTTTTTGTTTGTCTCGCTTTCCCTAAGCGTATTCACGCTCTGGGACCAAAAAGCTTTTAATGCATTTTCCGCAAAATGTACACAGAGTAACGAAAATTATGCATGCCGTTTGGGAATGGGAATGGAAATGGGAAGGGGGGAACTCCCATGCCACAGCGATGGCTGGCCAAGTGGCTTACTTAATCTTCATTCTTCGCAGTTGGCTTTTGTGTAATCTGCTAGTAGTTTCTCTTTTTGGTTCAACTTTCGCTTGACAAAGCTCCAAAACTTCTTAATACATACTTATTGTTGGACCCAAAGTCCACAGACTGCAAACTTTTGGCAGCAGGTCGCCTTAATTGCGTGTGTCTCTCCTCGCGTCACATGCTGCGTATGCGTGATGTGAGCTGTAAGCAGAGAATTGTGCTGCCAATTGAGCTATTTTTCAGCTAAATTTGGCTAGGCAGAGATTTAGCTGGTTTTTTCAAGGCATCTCAGTTAGAGATGGGCGCAGGCCAACTCTTCAAAATACCCGACCAGGCCCAGTCGGTTACAAACCCCAAATATCATACTTAGTTTTATTTAACTATTCGTAACGACATCTCGAAATGTTAGGCGTAGCTATATCTCGGGCTTCATCGTGCCTTTTCGGGCATTTTCGTGCCTTGATTTTTCGTGCTTTTTGTATACATCTCGAAATCGCAGTAATATACTCAGATATTATGCGTAGCTATATCTCAAGCTTCATCGTGCCTTTTCGGTATTTTTCGTGCCTTGATTTTTCGTGCTTTTTGAATACACGCACGCGCCCATCTCTGATATCCAATGACAAGTACAGTTTATTGCCAACTGCAGCTCAGAGAGCCAATATAACTTTTTTCAACACTGCATTCAGCTACTTTTTTGAAGCGACAGCTAGCAACACTGGCTGTGAGCCTCGAGCTGCTTGCAGCATTGCTTCCGCCCGCCCCGCCTTGCCTCCTGCAGCTGTTTGAGAGCCGCTCGTGCGTCTAATGCGCAATCTAAGCACAAAATATATCTGCCAAATGCTGAACTCATGAGAATTTGCTAAAGCTGGCAGCATATTTCTGGCTCAAACAGTTTGCAGTTGGTTGTCGTTGTCGTTGTTGTCGTTGTTTCTGCGGCCAGATTGCTGTCTTTTGTCAGATAGTTGTTGTTGCTGCTCAATTAGTCAGTGTAATGGCAGCTGGCGGCATGGCCATGCACTTGATTTGACTGCGGTTCAATAAATACGAGCACAAAGCCGCACCGAATGCCATTCAAGCGGCACACAATTCATCACAGCATCAGTTTTCAATGAGTTTCCCTGGCAGCAGCACAACAGGACTCGGCATGCGGTTGGCTGGCCAAAACAAAAGTAATTAGAAGACTGCGCGCCCTGTGGCTGTGACTCGAAATGGCTTAAAAAGAATCCCAGACAATGGACGTTCAAAAAAAAAAGAGTGAAAAAATGGGTTAGTTAAGCGCTTGCGGCTGCCACGATTTATAAGCAAGGCCAGCCAAGTTTTTAAAGGGCATGCCAGAGCTTAGAAAAAGCCAACTTTCGGTTCTATTTAGTATACAGTGTACTTAATTCCACTTTAGAATTAATTGCAGACCAACGTGTAAAGGCTGCCAATGCTCAACAGAACTAAGGCTAAATGATATTCGCAGCAAAGTTTAGCTTTTGTTATGGCTGTTAAATTGTTTCACAAGTGGAATTATAAATACGCGTGAAAATGTTGCAGAATATATAAAAAGGTCGTCAGCCGAGTATAAATTAAAGCATGTCAAGGTATATCAATATTGAGAATACTTGATTTCATTTAGCAGTAAAAGCTTAGCTATAATTATTGTTGTTGAATTGATTCGCAGGTGAAATTATAGGCACGAGTGAAAATCTTGCAGAATTTCAAATATATATTCTTCTGTTTATCACAACGTTGGGCAATTGAACTAAGAACTACTGTTTATATTCACAACTCAAATCTAAGCTATACTTATTGCCGGGAAATTGTTCCACAAGTGGAATTAGAAATACGTGTGAAAGTGTTGAAGAATTTCAAAAAGGGTCTTCAACCCACTAAAAATTAAGCATGTCAAAGTCAAATTGAGTTGAGTAGAACTGATTTTATTCAGCAGTAAAAGCTAAACTATATATTTATTGCTGTGAAATTGTTTCACAAGTGGAATTAGTAATACGTGTGAAAGTGTTGCAGTATTTTAAAAAAGGTTGAGGAGGATTGAATTTATTCAGCAGTAAATGCTAAGCTATATTTATTTCTGTTTCTGTTTCACAAGTGGAATTAGAAATACGTGTGAAAATGTTGCAGAACCTCAAATATATCTACCATCCATCCAATGTCATTGCAAATTGTAATCTTTCGCACTCAGCTGCTCTGTTACAATATGCAGGATATCTTAAAGTCAATTACACTCTCGTTGGCTTCATTCATACATGCACATACATAGATCGTTAATGCTTATGACTATGTATTTGGTTCAGAGGTCAACATAACAATTGCAATGTTCGTGTCACATGCGACTTTGTTCGGGCCAAACAAAAGTTTGAATACCATTCGACAGGACGAGCATGTTCAGCTGTGTGTGTCTGAGTGTGTGGGTGTGTGTGTGGGTGTGAGTGTGTGATAAAGATTTGTTTTTCCTCTTTATTGTGTGTGTGCAGCAGCAACGGCATCGCCCGAAATTGGTTTCGTGTTTCCTCTGCTCAATGTCTGCTCACATAACGCCCACAATCACATTTGGGGTTCAGGTTGCGCTCAGCTAACACTCGGGTTCGGCTCTCCCCCCCTCGCCCGCACATCTCACACTCCCCCCGCCTCATCTCGGCGGCAGTCATTGTCAATGTTTTGCGCAAACTTTTCTCATTAGGCAGTGCAAACAAAATGGCTGAGTCTGCGGCTCTGCTGTGGCCCACTTTGTTGGCTGTTTGACATCAACCGGGCCAGAAAGAATGGTGTCATAATGGCCAATAAAGCAACATGGAATACATCATTAAATGCTGTCGATCAAAGTGCTGCAAATTAATCGTTCCGATTCGAGTTTTGGCACATGTTTCCTATATACATACATATATATCGATGTGCACTAATCAAATGCATAAATTAAGCGTTAAGTAATTAGCTTCTATCATTAACAAAGTGTTCGACGACAGTCGCATCATTAATATCGTTCTAGTGCGAAAAAAAAGTCAGTGGTTCAGGAACCTACTACTAGTTCATTTCGTAACAGGCTTGCAGGTTCGATTCGGTTCGGTTTTCTATGGCAACTGGTTCAGTTCAGGTTAAAAAAGAGTTGGTTTTTATAGATTCGAACCAGTTCGGTTCCCTTTTGGCGCACCTTGTTTTTAAGTAAAAGACATTTTGCTTTGTTTTTGCTGTTTTCCAGTAAAGTTTAGTTTAATTTTGTAATAGACATAGACAGTGTGTTCTATTTAGCACATGCTCCGACTGGGTTAACCAAGGACTTCGCACATGTACATATTTATATATATATATATATATACTATATACGCATTTAAATACTACGAATTGTTCTGTTGCTTTGGGGCCCTAATATAGCTGACTAAAAACTACATATGTTATCGTATCGGGGGAGTTCTTAGTTCATATTTTTAGGATTAGATTAAACAAGTTCACATGTCGCATGCGTAGAAATATGTGTAGAAATATCGCTTTGTGTTAAAACATTTCGCGCTTTGTGTTTTGTTTTTCCTTTATACTTTGTTTGTTTGTTTTTTTTTTTGTTCTAGGCAAGAACTTCTGATTGTCAGAGAGTTATTGAAGAGTTAACTAGGGTGCGTGCGGAACTGATAGAAAATAAGTGCGCTTAGAACAGAGTTTAATGCTTAAACTAATGCACAGTTATACAAATATTTAAACGCTTCGCTATGGATATGTGTTAAACAATTCGTATTTTGCTTTTCTCCATATTGCACACATACATTAATACTTATATACAAATCTGAAATCAAATGTGCTGCAAATGTTTAAGTTTTCTTTATGTTTTTTTTGTTTGATTAAATGTTGTCCATAAATTTATGGTTTTGTGGCATATTAATATTGTGACAATTACAGTTTTTATTTCTGCATTTTGTATCTTTTTGTGTTTATTTTAAGCATAGTTACGCTTTTAACCCCTTCAAGTTTTGTGGTTCTTCCTCGATAATATCTCTACAAACTATATATATATATATATATATCAATATATATGAACAACAACATATAGCTCGAGTTATTTTTGACGAGTACACAAAACACTCTACAACATTAAAATTTCAAAATGGCTCACTTATCATGTATATATGCTAGGTTCTATATAAAGTCTGAGACGGTGGTTTTTGCTTTTTAGAAACTACAGACTACAATTTTGTAGAGGGGAAAAAACGAAGCAAATAAAAAGAATTTTGAGTTTTACTCGAGTCAACAAACCTGGGCTTAATTTCCAAAAAAAGAAATGTAAACAATTAATGCTTTAGAAAATATATAACAGATCACTTGGGAGGGAGAGAGTCTAAGTTGCAGCTAAGTAGTTGCTCAATTATTGCTTACCGATTAAAACATTTACTTATTAGCTAGTGTAATTAACCTTTATATTTAAGCCAGGGCGCCTTACAGCCTTACAGCTTATCCTTTGTGGTATCCTCCTCCTCCTGTAGCGAAATGATCTGTGGAAGGCGAGCGTGAGATGCAAGAAAATGTTATTAACTATCAATAAAAAATATCCAGAGAGAGAGAGAGAGAGAGAGAAATGACTGTTGCTAGGCTAAAAACAGAATTTGTATTAGTTATGTTTAATTGTTCTACTACAGTTTAGCGTTTAACTAACTAAGAGAAACTAAATAATCAGTTGCAGGTGAACTAAAAGTAATCAATGTGAATGGAACCACGCACAGTTCCATTTTCAGGCAAATTAAATTCGAATAGCTCTAGAGATCTATGGACAAATAGTGATATATTTCTATATATCTATATATATGCAGTTATGCAGCTAGTTATGCGTCGTATTTAGTATATAAACTAGCTAGCAGCTGTTTTTGTCTACTTACTTTAGCTCATTCGCAGCTCCGTTTGCAGCGGGTGGGCGTGGCCAACAACTAAGTACAATCTAAGATATAATTTCATTTGGTTGCTTGTTTTTTGTTTCTTATTAGATGTGTAGCTGGTTATTTGATTATTTGCCTTATGCAGCCTTTAATTATTTATGTAGTGTATTTAATATAGTTATGTAGAGCTCTCAAAAATATTTCAGCACTTGCAGTGAGGTATGCTTGTATCTTTGAAAGGTAATGCGGATTTTGAACGTGACTAAACCAATTGGTAACCCTCTATTTGATTAGTTTTTGTTTGAGCCTAAAAGAACTCGTCGAAATCGTCTAGAAAGTACAAATTGATCAATCAATTATGTTAAGTTCGTCGGGCACAGAATTTTGATCGGGTTCGGTGCTCTAATTGGAATTGCATTTCCACTTGGATTTGAGTAGGAAAGTGAAAAGTGCTGAGAATTGCAGAGAGAAGCTTGCATGCCAAATAAGATTATCAAAAAAAAAAAAAAAAAAAAACAATTGATTGAAGTAGAAAAACGAGTTATTTAGTTGCTTTCGGGTTAACTTTTTGGGGAGTTGCTATGCAAAACTTTTGTATTTAATCGTAGTTTTAGCCAAGTGCTAAATTGTAGTTTATAAAATTTGGTTATTTGATTATTTATCATTCGCTGGCGTAGCTGTGTTGTTCTTGTTGTTGTTGTTTCTACTGTTGTTGTTGTTGTTGTTGTGGGGCATGCTGCAGTGAGCTGCGGGAACTGGTTTTCATACTGGTGGTGGCTGATGGTGGTTGGTGGTGGTGGTTGGTGGTTCGTGGTTGGCAGTTGGCAGTTGACGTTGGTTAAAAATGAAAAAATTGAGTTTCATTTCATTTTGGCAGTTGTTGTTGCTATTGCCAAAAACGCGCGCGCACACACACACACACACACACACGCACACAAACAGAGAGAGAGGAAAATAGAGTATAACCAACATTTTGCGTTGCGAACGCAACAAAATTTAACAAAACTTGAACAAATTCTCAATATTTATTAATATATATATATTCCATATATACACATCAAGAGAAAGAGAGAGGTGTGTGAGTGAATGTGTAAGAGAACGGGCATAAAACTTTCGATTTCAATCAATATGACGACTTTTACTTAAGTAGGTCGATATATAAGCATAGCATCTAGTTACATTTACATATATATGATACAAAAGTTTTTAAATTCCTTTTTTTGATTTTCTTTTCATTTGCCTTCTTTTTTGCGTTCCAGGTGCGAGGGCGGAGCTTAAGCAAAACATGCCTGAAGTGTTGAAACAGAACTGAGGAACTGGAGAAACACAGCGCTTACCTCGACCGTGTGCACAGCTTTGTGGATTGATTCGGATTGATTCACTGCATTCGCAGGATATTGCAATTACAGTGCAGTTTATTGATTGACTTTAATTCAATTAAATGACGCGATTGAATTGATTAAAAACATTGCACGGCGTGTGGCATGTGCCACACACCATTTGTGTTTTGTATCATTTTATCGAGTTAATCGTGCTGATGAAATTCTGTTGATGGCAGTTTATGGCGCCCATATGAAATAAATGATAGCATTTTAAGCGCTCCGAACGCCACGTATCATATATTCAATTTAAGTCCCAGACAATAACACTTCGCTGAAGAGTAAAAACTGCAATTTAAAAAGCACTTACCTTTTATTTTCAATTGGTTTTCTTTATCCGTTGTATAATACACATAAGATATAAATGCATATAGAATATCGAGAAAGCTACGCATACAATTAGCATACTTTATTCAGAAAATAAAACTAGCTACTCATAACTACCCTGCAGGATATATTTAAAGTGGCTAACAACGAAAAATGTATCAGAATTAGTTTATGATTGTGACAAAAATAAGATGAATTTAAGTATGCGTAAGTATAATTGTATAATATCCAAACAGAATGTAACTGTATAGTTAGAACATATTTTCCAATTGTATTCAAAAACTTTAAATGGCTATATCTCGGCTATATGAGACCCGATTTTAGAGGTCTATAAAATGTAACTGTATAGTTATAACAGCTTCCATTCTACACGTATTAAGCTGAAGAATGAGAATATTTTCAATGAAAAAATGGATTTCAGGATGTTAAACTCTCAAACTTTCCTGGAAAGGACTTCATTAACTTGACACATAGCCATTTAAAGCATCAAGAAAATGTTCTATTTCGATTATCCTAGCTAAATACGGTCCGATTTTTAAGATACATTAATTTATTCCGGCCAAATGTCTGAGCTATGCCGAATTTATATTTTTAAGCCCAATCGGGTACGTCCCTGGCCAAAGAGACAATCAAAACCGGTTCCTAGATGACCCATAATATCCTTGGTTTTAACATACCATTGATAGAGTCCTAGTGAACCTACAGTTCAAAATCCCTGCAAAGTTTGCTCGGCAATAATCCAAAAATATGAATGTATGCTGTTTTCTTTCAGCCGTCCCCTAATCCCTCTATGGTTCCTAGATGCCCGATATATCCTTGGTTGTACCATACCATTGATATAGTCCTGGTGAACCTAAATCGCGAAATTCGTGCAAAATTTGCTCGGAAATGGTCCTAAAATATGAATATGCGTGCGTTTCTTTCAGCCGTCCCCTAATCCGTCTATGTTTCCAATATGACAGATATATCCTTGGTCCTACCATACCATTGATAAAGTCCTGGGGAACCTATAGTTCCAAATCCCAACCAAATTCGCTTTAAAGCTTAATCCACAATTAAATTAGAGTTTAAAAATGAACGGTCGCAAAAAGCCATTGCGCTAGGCCCGGCCGTTGGGCTCACATTTTTCATATAAAAATTCAGCTGAAATACCAGGCGAACAGAAATGCCCAGCAGGTAGATGCACAGAAATTTTTTTGTAAAAATAATGACTTGCAAGTTTTTTAACAGTTTACTGTTAACCTGCTGTTATTTAACAGGCAGCTGTTAAGTGTATGTTAGTTAACATACCACTGTTAAAAGCCCTTGCTACAAAGGGGCGTCAGGTTTGATCGGAAATTCAGCTGAAATACCAGGCGAACAGAAATGACCAAGAGGTAACTCCACAAAATTTTTTTGCAAAAATGATGACTTGCAATTTTCTTAACAGCTCACTGTTAAGCAGCTGTTAAGCAGCTGTTATTTAACAGGCTGCTGTTAAGTCTATGTTAGTTAACATACCACTGTTAACAGCCCATGCTACAAGGGGCGTCAGGTTTGATTGGAAATTTGGCAAAAATACCAGGCGAACAGAAATGACCAGCAGGTAGCTGCACAAAATTTTTATGAATGAAAAATTGCATTGCATACCCAAACGGGGCGTGCGGAAGCGCTGCTGGGTGCTTAGATTTGACCGAAAATTCGGCTGAAGCACCAGGCGAACAGAAATGCCCAGCAGGTAGATAAAATAAAATTTTTACAAATTAACAATTTCATTGCGTACCCACAACGTTAAGCTGCAGCTATGTAAAAGGGGTGCTGAAAGCAAAAAGCATACATATTTCTGGACCGTTTTCGTGCGCATTTTTCAGGGATTTGGTCCTTTAGGTTCACCAGGACTATATCAATGGTATGGTATAACCAAGGATATATGAGTCAACTAGGTACCAACGAGGGGGGTGGGGCAGTTGCTGGGGGGCGGCTGAAAGAGAAAGCATGCATATTTTTTGACCATTTCGGTCATTTAGGTTCACCAGGACGTTATCTTTGGTATGGTAAAACCAAGGATATAAGGGATATCTAGGAACCAACGGTTTTGCTTGTCTGTTCGCTCGGGGCGTGGCAGATATGGTAAAAAAACACCAAAAACGGCACACATTTGATTTAAAAAAATTTTAAATGGCTATATCTCGGCCAAATAAAGCCTGATCCTGGGAAGATTGGGCGCGTTGGACACGTGGAGGTCTAGAGAACAGATTGGGGGCTTTGGACTTATAGGATTACTAGAATATATTAACATCAAGAGATATTTAAACTCTAATGGTTACGAAAACTTAAAGAGATCACAAGATACATATTATTCAAGGTTTTTGCGATAATCTAAGGGTCATACACTTGTATAATTTTATTTTAAAATAAAAATGAAAAATAAAACAAAATAAAGATAATATTTATTGCTGTTTACAATTATATTATTATTAATCTATAATTAGTAATGCTATTGCCAACGTTCTTAAAAGCATAATAAAATAAATGAAAATCTCGAAATTCTTATTGGCACAGAAGCTACAAGGACGATTGGAGCGCCCTGACTAGGACAAATTGCTTAACAGTGTGTATAAATATGAATTGTTTACAAAATTAAGAATAAAGATAAATTGTACAGCATATCTAAGCCAAAATGCACAGCTCGCTCCAACAGACAACTCCAACAGGCAACTAGCTCCGCTTGAAAAGCAGCCTGTTGAATTCTGATAAGAAACCGTTTGGCTTTCCTGCAGGGTACGCATTGCAAAAGGAGTTTTATACAAAGCAAAAGGTGCTAGAAAATACTTAGAGTAAACAAAAGTTGTGTAGTGCAGTGTAGAAATTAATAAAAAATAGTGTAGCAGTTCGTGCGTTTTCTCTACATGCGTGCTAGGTGTACGGGGGAGTGCGGGTCGTTCATTGCGTCACACAGTCATTGCAATCGGCGGTGGGCGGCTCGGTGGGCGTGGCGCGGACTTTTTGCTCAGATCTGCCACGAAACAGCGGCCAACGGCGGCCCCAGAAGCCACAGGAGCTGCTCGAGCGGTTCAGCTTCTTGGACGGCTCAGCTGGCGCTGAGCTGGCAACTAGCTGGGGACTGGCACGCTCCACAGCCATGGTGCCGAGGGTGGCCTGTGTGGATTGGGGATGCAGCACCAGATCGTTGCGCGGTCGTCGCACCTGCCGACAATCGTAGTTCTCCACGACTATAATGGGCGTGGCACGCGGCAGACGATCCGGCACATTGACACGGATATGCGGCAGCAGGGACTGACATTGGCGCTGGCGGCTGTGACTGCGATTGCGACTGCGCCACAAATGCGGCTTGAAGCTGGGCCAGTGGAAGAACTGACGCAGGCTAACTGGACGTTCCGTGTGCAGCAGATCGCGCACCAAGTCGGGCGCCTGCTGACCGCCTGGCTGGCCCAAAGGGCAGCTGGAATTGCTGGCGCTGTTGTTGTTCTGGCTGTCATGTCTGTCGGGATTGGTGTTGTTGTTGTTGTTGTTGTGGTGCGGTGGCGTGCTGACATAGAATTTGGTTTTGGTGGTGCGGGAGACACGCAAGCTACTGGTCTTCCATGCATCGTGCAGGGTTCGGATGCCGGGCAAGCGTGCGAGCATATGGATGTGGTCGTAGGAGGCTGACAACATACCTGCGCGCTCATCCTGATACTCATCATCGTCGGAGGACTCTAACCGGTCCTCCACCAGCGACGTCTGCCGCGACAGACCCTTTTGTTGTACATGTTGCACATGTTGCACGTGTTGCAAGTGGTGTAAGCGAACAGAGACGAAGCCAAAGAAGTCAAACATAAAAGTAAATCGAAATGAAAATTGGAAAAAATTGATAACAAAACTGATGAGAACGCGTCTACAAAAGCAAACTCGTGTCGCTCGTGTCGCTCGTGACACGCGCGCATCACTAGGACTACACACAGGACGGTAACACAGCAGATAGATGGACAGCAGGACAGCAGGATAGTGGGCGTAGTGGCTGGCAACTTACCGCATTGTGACGTCGTCGGGGCGGCGAACGTTTGTTCCACAGCGCCTCCAGCTGATCGAAATGCTGGGATTGGGCGAGCGCCGCCTGCTCCGGTCCCAGGTTGGCCTGGGAGGCGCCCGTTTTGGTTTCAGCTATCTTCGAGATCTCCTCCATGCTGGCCGAGACGCTGAAGCGTCGCTTCAAGCGCTCATCCACCTGGGCCATCATCACGGAGGAGGTCAAATGGCCGTATTTCTTCTGCCAGGTGTATGTGTCCAGGGAGACCTCCTTCTTGAGCAGCCGCTTCATCTGCCGCTTGGGGCCCTGTGGACGCAAATCTGTGGGAAAAGAAAGAATGAAGAGCTGTCAAGGAAGGGGGGGTGATTCAGGCTTACCTTCGACGTCCTTGCTGGGACCGGAATAGGTCGGCAGCTTGACATACTGCGCCGGGGTATTATGCAAACAGATGACGGGCAAATTGTAGCTATCCACCAGCTGGACGAGCACACGGGACACCTCCAGGCTGATGTCGAAGTGCGTGAAGGGCACGTGCATCTGCAGGGAGGTGAGCGCCAGGCCACGCTTCGTTTCCCACACAATTAACGTCTTGTCATCGCTGCCCGAGACGGCCGTGGAGCCTGGAAGGGAGAGGAAAGGCAGAAAGGAATTGGAGGAATAGTAAGCAATTCCATCCGACTGGCTGTCCGGGTCACTCACCATCAGCGGAGACCTTGACGCCAATGACAGCGCCCAAATGGCCGGCCAATGTGTGCACCTCCTCGCCGGTGAGCAGATCCCATATAATCAGATTCATATCCTTCGAGCCGGAGATGACTTGTGTTTTATTGGTCACGGAGACGGACACACAGGTCACCGCATCGCTATGGCCGACAAGCACCTGGCTCAGCTTGCCGCCCATCGATTGCCAGACCTTCAGCGACATGTCCCTGGAGCCGGTTATAATGTGTATGCTGTCCGCGCTAATCTCGAAGCAGGTTATCTCGTCCGAGTGCGAGACGGAATACTTTTCATCCTCCTGCGTGAGGGACCAGATCTTTAGGGTATTGTCGCCGTTCGTGGAGACGGCGAAGCGCATATTGTTGGTGGCGGCCAGTTTCTTGTAGGGACCCTGTATGGTCTGGAGCAGATTGCCCGAATCGGCCATCCACACGAGCATCATGGACTCGCGATCCGTGGAGATGACGCGCAGCGAGTCCATGAGCACCAACAGCTGCATAACCGGCGCCGCATGTCCCTTGAATGTATGATTGATTTCGCCCAGCGCCAGAGTCCAGATCTGCACCAGACGATCCTCGCCGCCCGTGGCCAAGAACTCGCCGTTCGGCGCAAATTTCAGACAATTGACGACACAGGTGTGTCCCTCCAGTGTGCTCTGATATTCCGGCGTATTGATGCGCATCATGTGCACGTTCCGGCCGGAGGCAATCGCCAGCTGCTGCGAGTCGCGCGACAAGTCGAAGCACGTGATCGGCGGCAACGTGGTCGAGGGCGAACGCTGCGCCTGCGTGTGCCGCTTCAGGCTGCGCTTGCGGCGCGGATGCCGCGAGTACGGATTCACATAGAGCTCCTCGTTGCGAAACGAATAGAAGGTGATTTTGTTGCCGCCGACGGTGATCAGAAAATCATCATTCTCCATGGCATAAACAGCCGTAACTGGACCCGGATTCGGCGGCATCGAGCGCACCAATTTGCCGGAGTGCATGTCATAGATGAGCGCCCGCGTATCCTCGCAGCCGACCACACACCGCTGGCTGTCCTTCGCAATGCATATGGTGCGTATCTGTGTGGGATTACAACAGAAATGAGAGCAGATAAATGCCATTTGCCCCATGATTCCGGCTCTAGTATGCTCGCCGCGACTCACCCGCGACTTGTGGCCCTTGAGCGTGTGCAGCTCCTTGCCGGTGGCCAGGGTGCGCACGTAGAGCGCATTGTCCTCGCAGAGGGCCAGCAGGAATACCTAACGGTAGATATATGCGCACATACAATGTACATTGAATGTAATTAATTGACATTTTCAGCGCCATTTTAATGCATTCCCAGCCATTTGACGGCGACAAAAGGCCAACTCCAACAATTCCCAGCCCCGCATTCCGTCCTGCTTGCCCCGTCAATCCAATCAAATATTAATAAATTGCATTCCACAGTTGCACAGTTGCAACTTTTACAGTTCGTACACTGAGCACAATTACTGCTGATGAAGTGAAAGCTATACAGTCGCATTTGACCGACTGCTAGATACTCTGTGCGGGCGAGAGAAACTAATTGAATTGGCTGCGGTCAGGATAAAGATGTTAAATGCAAATTTTTTCTCCAGCTTTTCTCTCTCTCTTTCCCACTGTAGTATCTATGTCTCTCTCTCTCTCTCTCGTTTGGTCTTTTGTCAATCTTTCATCTCTCTTCCAACGAGCCAGTAAGAGTCTGCTCTAGTTTCTTTCTCTCTCTACTCGCACTCTCTTTTACCTCTCACTCGCTTGATTTTTTCCATCGGAGAGAGGGAGAGAGAAAGACTTTCGCTCTTTCATCTATCCCTATCTCTCTTTTAAATAGTTTTGTCAAATTCCGCTCTAGTTTCTATCTCTCTCGTCCTCTCATTGCGCGAGAGACTGTTGCTCCCTTTTACCTCTTTTCTCCACCTCTCTTTCTTTTATAGAGCCGATAAATTGCTGTCCTTTTTTGTCCTTTTTTATCTTTCTCTCCCTCCTCTTCCCTCCTTTTTTCTTTCCCCTTCTCACTCTTTTAAAGAGCAAGACAAATTCTATTCGTATTTCTCTCCCGCTTCATGTTTTCTCTCTGTCACTTGCTCTTTTCTGTCCTCGGGGATAAAGTCTCAAGCTCCCCCTAATCTATCTCTTTTTCCTTCTTTCTCTCCCTTTCACTCTGTCCCTCCCTTCGAGTATATATCAAATAAACCATACATAAATCCGAAATACTCCTGTTCTCACCCCTGGAAAACAGAGTATAAAAACGTAATTTCATTTTTAAGAGCTTAGTTTTCTTATTGGCGCAGCGCCAGATCGAATATTCGCCTTTGTGGTTTTTGTTTTTATGCTTTTATGCCGTCTCGCATTTTATTTGACTTAAATATTAATAAATTTCTCGCCGTGTGCCCGCAAAAAAGCGGCCGGGCTGCAGTTTTTCAAGCGAGCCGGGAAATTGAAAAATGCCAGCAACAAGAACAAGAATAACTCGTCACGTCACGTTGCCCCCTGTCGAAGCAAATGGCAAGGACCAGAGCAAGGCCAGCGTTGGGGCCATTTGGCTCATTGCAACATTTGAATTTTCAGGGGAAATGCCCGGCCAGACGATAGGATAGAAAGAATGTGCCCGACCTCAGGAGGGGGGAGGGGGAATTTAGCGTGCCACAGAGCCATCAGGATGTAAGCCAAAGTGTAAGAAAGTTGATTTCCGTTTGCCATTTGCCATTTGCCACACGGCTGTCCAAAAGAGCCCAGGCCCCAGCCCCAGCCCAAGAATGCGAGCCAGGCATAAAGGACTTGTCTCTCAAGTGGCTAGACGGCAATAGAACATATACGAGTGTGTCACGTGAGTGTGTGTGTGTGAATTACGTTTCAATTTGAGGCTGAAAAATATTTGCGAAATTGTGGCAGGACGAGCTGCTTCCAGCCTTGTTATCGACAGCAATTGGGCAACGTGCTTATTGCCAATTTGTTTCATTCTGCGGCACGTTTGTTTAATGCGATAAGCCAACAATTTGGTTATACTTTTGGCTTTCAATGCGCCAAATGAGTTATCTAATTGCCAGCGAGCGGAGAGAGAGGGGAGTGGGGTGGCCTCAGGCATGCCATTTGCTACGTTTTGGTAGGAGAGAACTTCTCTGCCCGTGTCCTGTAATCGGATGCGGCACTCGGCATTCGGAAATGGGAGCCACTGTGAAGCAGTCGCCGATTATTTGAGTCAGGCATTCAAGTCCTGCGGCAATGCGTACCTTCTACTCGGCGCGACATAAAAGCGACACAAAATCGACACTCGCCTGTCTACTTTCGATTTATAGCAATAGATACTAGCACGGCAAAGAGGAGGGAGGGGAAGGGACTGTGGAGACGCAGCTAGCACTTGATGCACGCATCAATTGTCACGCAGCTTCTAGCTCCTAGCCCCTCCAGCTCCTGGCCTCCATCTCCTGGCCTGTGGCACCTAGCACTGACAAAACGTCTGCGTCCGTTCCCGTGTTGATAATGTTTTGCGTGCCAAATTGCTGCTAAGTATGCAATACATATTGATGGAGACACACACTCACACACACACACACACACATGTACACGCACGCACACACTCTCGCGCACAGCAGGAGTCCGGACGCCGGAGCAAGCGCCTGGCAGCTGCTGCTTTTTGTCAAGCTGATTGACAACAAAGGATTTGGTTCGTAATGCGGCTGCTCTAAGCCAAAATCACTTATTAGAATCAACCCGCCAGGCACAGATCCAACTGCAGCCCCTACCCTGCACCCTACACACAACCCCCTCTCCCCCCCTAGCCGCATCCTTTAGCTGTGTGCTGTTTGAGCTGAAGTATTTTTGTATATTGTATCTCTTTTTTTTCTCTATATTGTTATTGTATCTATCAAATGCAGCTTTAAACTGTGTACACACACACACACACGCACCGAGAACGTTGACAATTGAGATTTTATCTTGAAACTGAACCAAGACTTATTTTTGTTTTACATTCTCGTCAACAGAGATTTTTGCCATTTCTTTGTTGTTCTTGCTGTTATTTTGCTTGTGCACATCCGCATACTTCTGCAGAAATCCTTAAAGACTTAAGGAATTGCCAGGCAAATGGGCAAAGCTCTCGCCGAGATACATCAGCTAGTTCTCACATAAGGAAGATTTTTGCAGAATATAATATTTGGTAGGAAACTGAACTAAGACTTGCTTTTGGGTTAGATGCTCGTCAACAAAGAACTGACATAATTATGCAGAAGCCCTTAAAGACTTAAAGAGTAAAACCTCAATTTCTTTGCTCTGATTTCTAATAAACATGTTTGCAAAAAGCAGTTGCTGGTTCGAATCCTTGGTATTTATCTAAAACCTATACATTTATTCAACTTTAAACCTAACACGAAATAAAATACTTAAATTTCTCTTCCACAAAATTGAAATATTTTCCATTATGCAGTCCACGGCAGATAAGTTTTCTATAGGGGAAGTGATAGAGGAATTTGCTGGTTCGAACTCTAGAAGTTTTTTCTATAAAATATTTACATATATTCAAATCTAAGCTAAAAATCAAAATACATAAAAACTCGAATTTCTGTTCTACAAATCAAAATACCCTACAAAATGAAGTTAGCTGCAGATAAGTTGTCTAAGTGAAGCGAAGCAGAAAGTTGCTGGTTTGAATCCTGGTCGTTTTTATATAATATCTTTACATATATTCAAACTTGTATTAAACCCAAAAGAAAAATCAATACAAATCTCAAATTTCACTTTCACAAATCGATAGACCCTACGGCAAATAATTCGCTGAGTGCAGTAGAGGTTGCTGGTTCGAATTTTCTATAAAATATTTAATAATATTCTAATATAAATGGGAACGCGTAATCGATAAGGACTGTTCCCTGCATTAGACATAGTTTTGCAGCTTATTCTTTGTTTAAATATACTTTTGATATATGAGATCCAACATTATCCTTTGCCCATTCTTTCCAACTGGAGCTCATGTCGTGCGGCCAAGCCTTACCTAGAATCTAGTTGGATATATGTCACGTATGTCAAATAGATTTATGACAACGCTGCATGGCACAGACATCGCAAGTGAAAGTCATTTGTCAGGCACATTATATAGACCTCCATTGGCAACTCGTCTTACCCCAACTTTAACCTAAATATGTTTCACTTACTCGCGTACTTACCGAATTCCAGGAGATATCAATGCGCAGCACCGGACTCGTCATTTGCATGGTATTCAAGAGCGCGTAGTTCTCCAGATCCCAGACGCATATGTTCTTGTCATGGCTGGCCGAGATGAGGACATCGCAGGCGCCGGCGACCAAGATGCCGCTAACCGGGCCACGATGAAAGCTAATGCGATGTATCTGCAATCGAGTGTGGAGCAAAATGTAACGAGATGAGCTCATTGAATGCAATCGAGTTTTATGGTTCGATAAAGGTTGATTTAACTAAATGGTGTCAGCTGGGGGTGCAGGAGGGGGCAGGAGGGGGAGCAGGAGCGGGGTCTTGGCAAATGGAGGCTTGCGTGACACATGTGACTCGGTCGTGTGTGTGGGTGTGTGTGTGTGTGTGTGTGTGTGTGGCACATTTTGTATGCATTAAGTTAATTACCGTTTGGCAGGCGATGTTGACAATGCGCTGGAAACCGCTTACCGCCACGCCCCCATCCACGACCACCGCCTACCACATGCGAGCAGCTTTAAGGCTTGTGGGAGCGCGGCGCCAGCCGAAAGTCACACAAAAATGCCAAAACTTTGATAAATTACACGAAAGAACTTTTTGAAATGCCAAAAGCAGCAGCGAGCGGCAACATGAAAGCAATGCCAGCCAGCATGACTATGACATGGCGTATACGTAATATTGTAATTAATTTAATAAGCGCCTGTAATATTTGTGCACGTGTGTGTGTGTGTGTGTCTGCTGTCTGCCAAGTCACGCCATATTCAAAGAGTAAAAGCTGCATTTCGTGGCTTGCTTTTCAAGCTCCCGAATTCTGTGCAGTCAGCGAAATTGGCTTTTGTAAAATATGCTAGCCGACTTTTTTGCGCCGCCCAAAGCGGCAATAAATCTAATTTATATGTGTGTGAACAGGCGGCGCTGACGCCCGCAAACATGGGGCTAACAAGCCCAAGGACAGCGCAGCCACACTTTATATGCAAACATTGCATTCTAGTTAATCACAGTTTAATGTGCGTGCCACTCTCTGTGTGTGTGTGTGTGGGTGTGCGTGTGTGTGTGTGTGGTTGCGAAATTTCAAGCTAATATGATTTATGATTACATGGACGGAGGCAGCTGGTTTTGGCTTGAATGTGTGCCGCTTCATTTGTCAGGCATGCCACAAACACAAATTCAGGTTTATCTGCCAGAAAAGGCTGCTTGACTAGCAGCTACTCTGTCTAAATTTAGTTAACAGTGTGTTAACATTAGGCTAATTACATAAATTCTCGCTTAACATAGCGCAGACAGTTAACACAATGTCTAGCTATTCAACAAGCTAAAATGTTTAACAGAGTATAGCCAAGCTAGTAAAAGCTTGCAGCGTGTTTCTAGATATGTGTATTCTAAGGAATGGAGTGTCTGCTGTTTAACATAGGGGCAAAACTAAGGTTTATTTAAAAAAGAAATGCAAAACAAAAAAGGATAACAGCTGCTTAACAGAGCGGAAAAGCAAGGGCATACAAAAAGCTGTTAAGTGGTCCAACAGTTTAACAGCTGGTGAGCATTGTGAAAAAATGTCTGACAATCAGCAAGGCAATAAATAACAAAAGCATCTAAAATCGATTAAGAATAAATTTTAAAAAATGCTGTAAACATATTAACATAGTGAACGAATGTTAATGAGGGCCTCTTAGCAAAGGCTATGTCACAGCTACGCAAAATGTGAATTATGTAAACATTTTAAAACTCGAATAGGTTTGACTCAGACTAAAAATTTGATATGCCAGAGCTAATTTTTTGGCTGGAACATAAATCCTTTAATATATGCAAACATAACCTTTTGTGACTATGATATAGGGTACAGCAGCTGGGTGCGCAGTAGCCACACACACACACACACACACACAGACACACATGGGCAGAGATTATGACCTCGCAATGGCAGCCACAGCGTTGGCTAAGGAATTATGCAAATTAATGCGGTTTGTTTGTTGCGGCTCGTGGCGCGTTCTCGCAATTAGGCAACAGCAAAATGCATTTCACATTTCACATTTTACATTCTGCATTATGCATTTCATAATTTGTGTGTGTGGCTGGAAGCGAAATGCAAATGGCTAAATGGAGGGGCAAAAATGTGAACAAATTAAAAATAGTAAATAGTAAATATGAATTCAATTAAAAATCATTGCCTGCCAGTAGTTTCTATGGCACATGCTCTGCTCACCAATTTGCCGCTGGCCAGGTCTGTGATGCCGATTGTTGCGTCCTCGCTGCTGCTGATGATCAGCGTGTTGTTGACACCAGCTGCCACGCCCGTCACTGCCGCTGTGTGGGCTCTGGAGTAGCCAGAAAGAAGAAGAAGAAAAAAAAAGGGAAAAAGCAACATGTTACGCATTAAAAGGGCCTGCAGAGATTCCCATTGTCAAAGGGGGAGGCAGTGGGAGGAGGTGTACAACTTACTTAATGTGCACTCGACGCTCGCGCAGCGACACGTGCCAGACCAAAACAGTCGTATCCTCGGAGCCGGTCAGCAGCAGCTGCGACTGCTGCGGCGCCACCAGCAGGCACGTGACTGCCGCAGTGTGTCCTGCAAAGTGTGTACAAGTGTGTGTGCGAGTGGCATGATTAGCTCGTCTAATGGCAGCGCATTAAGCACGGACTCACCCTTGTATGTGTGCTCCAGCGAGTTGCTCATGATGTGCCACAGCTGCACATCGCCCGAGTTGGTGGCCAATATGAGATGTTGCCGTGACGGCGCTAGGCAAACGGCTCGTATTACTCCGGTGCCGGAGACGGTCATGTTGCGTATCTGGGAGGGCAACGGCGCCGGCAGCCAGCCGGTCAGCGGGACCAGCAGCGGCACCGCATAGCCATCGCACCAGGCGGTCGCCGATCGGACCGTCATGCTCAGCAGCGAGTTGTCGTCGTCGTCGTGCTCGCCAATCGGACGCAGCCACGAGACCAGCTGGGAGCCCAGCTGCATGGGATCCCGGGTGAGTACATCGCTCGACTTTCGTATGGTGTAGTAGATGAGCTCAATGTCCCGGTCCAGCACATAGCAGCGCACGTGCTCGATTAGGCAGCGCAGATAGCTAATGGATACTGTTTGCACCTGCAAAATAGGCAATTGTAAAATATGTGTGTGCTTATAAGCGCTAATTAGGATGTTACGTATACGCAGCTATGTACTATTTTGTGCAAATCGGCTTAAACGGGAGCATTAAGAATATTACGTATACGTCTTGCATGTGGAGGAGCATTTCGAATATTACGTATACGTCGGAATTTATATAGGAGCAATAAAAATATTACGTATACGTCGTGTGGTCGCTGGTGCAATTCAGTATATTGACGAATCAATAAGAAAATTACGTATACGCCACGTATATGACTGTGCAATACAGTATATTATAGAAGTAATAAAAATATTACGTATACGTCTTGTGCAATTCCGAATTTATGAATATTGCGCATACGCCCCATATGCTGTAATGGGAATTTTTAAAATATTCCGACCAAGCTCAGCGTGTGCTTCACATGTGTGATTGAAATTTTATTAAAATTGAATTTTTATATTAAATAGCTATAGTTCCTATAGGGCAAAATATAATTTGGTATATGAAAAATGTGTTACAAGCTAAACAATGCTTCCAATATCTGAGCAGCATTTTATAAACTCTATAATAGAAAATGTTGTTGTGTATAGCAACATATCTGAAATCTGTTATCGTCCATCTACAAGTTAGTTAAATGTTGTCTTTTATTATGTTTATCATTATTAATTCCACATAAAAACAGATGGAAGGCTTCTCGCCGCCCTTTGACTCCAAGTTGACTTGGCAGAATAAAAGCTGGCTAAAATTGTAGGTCAATTTAAAGTTCAGCCAGTTGAACATATGAAAGGCTTCTACTTTTCTAAAACTTTGCTGCTGCACAGATTGCAACATTTACAAATATTGTACGCTGACCTTGGCGCTTGATAATTGAATCAAGTTGCAGCTGCTGCACTTTTAGGCATTCGCCTAATTGAAAGGCAGGTCGAATGGCAACGCAATTAGCTGCCACATTTGCTGATGGCCAATGCCGTGGCACAGCTTGTGGCACGTGTCGGTATTGCATATCTGTTGCAGCTGCAACAACGCGTATTAAAAAAACATTTTATAAATTTTAGCATATTTCTGTTAGACGAACTTTTTTGTTACTCGCTTTTTGGTCAAGTTTAACTGTTCGATTTGCATATTTTTGCATGAATTGCAATTGTTTGGATTTCAAAATTGATGGCCAAATGCATATTTCATCTGTCGGTGTTGGTGTTAAATTCGCTATGAAAACTGACGCGTTTTCTGTTGTTGGCTTAATTCGATTTGCCAGAACGAAAGCTGCTTAAATAATAATCGCCAACTTTTTGCCAGTCTCGGCCTTTTCGCGAATGCAATTCGCCAAAATTTCCGCCCGAACAACTTTCATAATGAATGACGACATTTTAAGCAATTAAACGCCAAATGAGTTGGCAGCCGACCAAGTCGGACCCGACGCGCTTTTGTTTAAGCCTTAATGCAACATTCAGCCCGCTGACTTAAGTTGACGCACAAGCGGCTGATTGCGTCTGAGCCCTTTGAATTTATGCATTTCCTTCATTTAAAGTTACTTAAACAAACTGATTCAAATTACAAGTGTCTTTTAAGCACGTTGCAAGAGTAGTTTGTACTATTTTTGATATCTGATAATGCTTGAAATGTAAATGTTAAAAGGGTTAACTTTAAATAACAATTTATAAAATTTGTGAATTGCGAAAGGCATCAATCTAGATGACAAATCCGGGCTAGACCTCTAAGTTTTTAAAAGATATTGACATTAGATTTGGAAGGAGTACAAGTCAAAATGAAAAAAAGAAATCCCAGAATCTCAGTTTTACATTCACGCATGCAAATTATGACAATTTGAAGGTTGACATTGACAAAGATTACAGAGAAAAGTAGAATTAGACGCATTTAAGCTTAACAGCAGTAAAAAGTTATAATTACAATAAACTAAACTTTCTCGAATTTCTATCTGTAATTACCGTGACATTTTAGCTATTGATGCGACATATTTATTAAATATGTACAGCAGAAATTTTAAACTCTGCCAACTTATCAAAAATTTACGAGCAATAAAGGAAAGATATTTGACCTTTTGGCTGAGAGGGGGGCGGGGGACCTGGTCGATTTTCATGGCTTGTTTAAGTTTATTAGACAAGTTCAGAGCAGATTTTGTCAGCTGTTTGCCATTTGGCGCAAATCGAGCTGATTGCAAAATGGTTTTAGCTCGTTGCTAAACTAATTTCCGCAACGCTGACTAATTGCGAATGCTCGTTAAAATGGGTGGGGGGGTAGGGGTGGTGTGAGGGGGCGAGTTGAGGGAGGTTACAGGGGGTCTGGTAACTGTCAACTTACCGCCGCGAGCAGGAAATCAAAATTACAGACTGCGATTTGCTTGAAGCGAGTCGTGTCATCGGAGCGCATCAGATGATGCCAGCTCTCCTCGACGTGCCGCATGCTGTAGGAGACATCGGCGGCAATGGGATTGTAAAAGGTGGATGTGTCGTCGTTGTGATGCGTTGAGGATGATTTACGGCCAGCCGATACGTTATCCTTTTCACGTTCCTTCTCCTTATCCTTGTGCGGCTCACGCTCCTTGAGACTGACAACCGACTTGCTGTCGCTGCGGGTTGTATCATTTTCCAGCGTGCTCTCGTCCTCGTCCTGGGGGAAAAACAAATTGGCCAGCTCCATGTGCAGGCAACGTGTTCGCTCCACATCCATATACCGTCGCTTGGCCACCGTGGCGCAGTAATTGTGGCGCCACTGAATGAGCACCTTGCCGGACATAATCTTGTCGTGCAGCAGCAGGCGCTTATCTGTGCACAGAGAGAGAGAGAGAGAGAGAGAGAGAGAGAGAGAGAGAGAGAGAGAGAGAGAGAGAGAGAGAGAGAAACCAAGAGAGGGAGTGGTATAAACTGGAGGATTGGTTAGTCAGAGATTCATTTTTACCCATTTGCTTGTGTATCTTCTTGAAGCTGGCGAAGCTAAAGTGTCCGTTGTGCGTGTCTATTAGCGACTCGGGATCATCGGTGGGCATCAGCAGCTCGAGCAGCTCCGTCTCGGTCAGCCCGTACTCGGAGCACGTGATGTAGGCCGCCAGACTGGCCACCGCTTGCCTGCCATAGTGCTGCTCCAGCTCGTCGAACTGTTGCTCCACATAGGCCACAAAGCTGACATCTGCGGCACACTGCTCCGGTCGCTGCAGCTGAGTCGCATTCGCCTCCAGGCCCAGATCGAACTGGTACTCCGCCGACTTGAATCTGTCCCGCTGCATGGGCGTAAACTTGAGCTGTTCGACGGGCGTGGTCGAGCTGCATATTATCTGGACGTTCCAGGGCAGCGACGTGGGCAGCCAGGAGAGTGCGGCGACAATGTCGCAGTCCAGCGGATTCAGCAGATGCAGATCGTCGATAAACAGAAAGAGAACATCGTTGTTCATGTCCTCGATGCGACGCAACAGATTCTGAAACCAGTTGCTAATGTACAGCGGATCGAAGGACGCATCCTTCGGCAAATAGCCCTCGGGTATGTTGAATATAATTGAGATCTGCTGGCAGATAACGCGCAACAGCTCCAGATTGTATGCCGAACGGGGCGTGGCCTTCGCAAAGCGTATCACCCGATGCACACGCGTCGTGCCAAACCAGCCGCCCACCTGGCCGTAAAGTGTGCTAATCAGCGCACTCTTGCCGCTGCCATGCGTGCCGCATATAAAGTACGGAGCATGCCGGCTGCCGTTCTTGTAGTTCGCCATCAGATTCAGCTGCAGCTGTTGCGGCACTCGCGTCTCCAGCAGCACCACGCGCTCCGTGTGCTCGCGCAGCATCCGCAGATGTGTGGCATGCTCGTGAAAGATTTCCTGTGCGGTGTGAAAAAATATATATAAAAATAAATCAGAAAACGAAGAAAACGAGGAAAAAGGAATTGCCTTGGACAGCCATTGCCAAATGGGATTCAAATAGTCAACAATCAGCAGCCAAATCGCACCAATTTGAGCTGCCAGACAGCACAAGTTGTCCCCTCGCCCAATGCCCAGTTCGAGTCCTGGTTCGAGTCCTGTTTCGCTTTGGCTGCCAGCTTGTCGCTTCTCGTTTCCTGACCGGGGCATATATTATGCCAGAGTATCATCCGCTTCTGACTGTCAGACACTGTCTGCCCCGCCCACACAGCCCTCCCTTCCGTTTATGTGACTTTGAGTGTGTTTGTTCGTAACTTTGTTTACCTGTGCTCCTGACAGAGTGCCACCTGCTGAGCGGAGTCGCTCTCCCTGTCACTGACATCCTCATCCTTGTGTTTCTAGTTGTTGTTGTTGTTGCTGTTGTTGTTTTTGTTTTTGTTGCTGTTGAGTGGCCGTGGCATGTTTGCCACTAACAAGTCGCCACCCGCCACACACACACACTCACCCACACACACACATGCTCACACACACACCCCTTCCATGCACTCAAGCGCCCTTCATCTTCATCTTTAGCTCTGTCTAAGCTATCCAGGCTCACCTCATGCATACACTGTACAACAAAAACTTGAGTTTGGGCCTTAAAAGCAGTTCCTTGAGTCGCAAGTGTGGACTTCACAACTCAAGTTGGCATGTTGAATTTGATTTTATTAAAAAAATGCTATTCGGCTTATAAAAAAACAAACAAAAACTCCACTAAGAATTTTTGCAGAGTATTATAACTTTAAACAGTTTTTTTCTGACTACATAAAGCTTAAAAAAATTTCACCAAAATCTAACTAAACGTAGTCTTATGTTCCGTTTAATATTCAGAAAAAATGCATAGTTCTTGCAGAAAGTTGCTTTTCTCTCAGTGTATGGCTCATATAGTTTGAATAAACTTTGAACCAAAGTTTGATTGGATTATTTGCAACTCGTATCCTAGGAATGTGATTTAGCACCTGTTTTTACTCGAGCTGCATATTACTCGCAGTTTTTTCTGCAAAGTGGCAAAAAGAGTAGCTTATTTTGTATTTTTGCTTTAGTTAAATATCCAGTGTGAACAGCGCATTTCTCTCAGTGTTAATTATGTTATTCAAATAGAATTGAAGAAATCTTAATGAAAACGAATTGAAGGTATTGTAAGCAAATAACTATTAGTTTAGCTAAAATAACATTTATATCTAGCATTGCATTTCTCTCAGTGCACTTAAACACAGTTTTTCGCTAGTTCTGTTTATTTTTTTTTTGCTAATTTCTCTCAGTGCATGCACATCACACACCAATTAAAGTTAATCCTTGTGCCACTTAGAATTACTTTCTTAATTCCCCTTTTCGCTCAGTGTACCCATATGCTCGCATAGTTTGAAATGTGTGTGTGTTTCTGGTCTCAATAAGCTGCTTTTGCTTTGCAAATCTGATTGGTACGCTGCTCACTGCCAGCTGCACTGGCACTGGCTCTGGCTTAGCCACTGAATCAACATTTTCCGAGAAAGACGAGCGGCGGTCAAGTGTGGAAGTGGCTGTGGTTCGGCAGCTGCAGATGTTGTTCAAGGAGTCGCTTAATTAGCTCGACATTTGCTTTCAGTTTTATAATGCATGGAAAAGTTGCGCATACGCCATGTTGTGCTAACAGCCAAAGGTGAGCGCCTGCCTCTTCCTCTTCTTTGTGGGTGTGTGTGGGTGTGCACACTTAACATATTTCTAGGTTGTCAAATGCCACAACATTTTGTCAAAGTGCTAAGCTGCCTTGGGGTAAATGGGCAACTGAAATTGTGGGCGGGCAACGTTGTGACTTTAAAGGCGCTGGCAAGGCTTTTAAATTTGAGTGGGACAAAGGAGTGCGGGCGGGCGTGCCGTTGCAGTTTATGTTGCAAGAAGGCGTCGTTAAGTGCAAACAAGCGCAGTTCGTGTGGGTGCTATCAAGCGCAAGGGGCAAAAGGGGGGGCGTGAGGAGTGGGGCGTGGCTGGCCTGCATTGTATACAAGTGTAAGTGTGTTAATATGTCATGTCGAGCAGCATAGCCAAGTGCGAGGGGAGACGAAGAGCAGGAGGAGGAGGAGTAGGCAGGCAGGCTGCGTCCGCTAATGGGCCAGCCAAGGCTCGCATTACGCGGCGTCCTTCGGTTTGCGACCAACTTGAAATGTTAAATGCTTTTAACAAAAGCCAACGAATGGCAAACGCGACTCCGTGGCCGAAAGAATCCCCAGCTACCAAACGTGCCTTCCCCTCCCGCTGCCTTTCCCCACCAAATAGATTGTTGGCAGGCAACAGCAGCAGCGTCTTGGGCCAAAATGCTTATTGCTGGCGGCGGCATTGGAAAGCCAACCAAAACCCGCCTTGTTTACGCCAGAAAATGAAGAAGATGCCTTGTTATTGGTTTTGCTTTTGGATTTTCTTCGTTTTCGTTTTTTTTTTCCTTTCAGCCATTTTAGCAATTCAATTTCACAGGTGTTTCAGCAAATATTGAACAGCGAAATTGATAAAGCGAACGCTGAGAAAATTCTACTTAAGCCACACTTATAGAAAGTCAACAATATATCAGCCAAGGCAACATGCAATAAATAATGGATTGATTTTTGGCATAGTTTACTTGGCTTCTGCGTATAATTTAATATGATTTTGTATGATTTACTGCGAAGATATTGAATTCGATGCATTGAGAACAAAAAATGTGAGGACTTTAGTTAAGCTCTATTGTAAGTTGGAGGCTTTATACTGATTTCTGCTTCACTCTTTTCTCATTATTTCAGTTAATATCAGCCAAGCAGTTGCCTCTTTATAAGAAATGCCCCGCACTGCTTTAAAGCAGTTTAAACAAAATTGTGTTCACTGGTGTGAGTGTGTTGTACATGTATTAGTGCACGTTTGTCTGTTAAGCACGCTGCACTATAATTTCCTGTTCCAAGCAGTCGCGTCCGTGTCCTCTGTACGTGAGCTCAAGCTAATGAAAATCATTTGAGGAGCTGATTACTTTAAATCGAATTCGTTTATAAAAACGAAAATTGACTTAAATTATGGTTTCACTTATGCCATATCCACTGTGCTGCGCAAACGTTCCTCTGACTATGGCTCATATAAAGCAATACAAACTTAATGCATAATTTACTTGCCGCACATAAACTCTCGCACATATTTAATTAACCTGCCCAAAGCGTTTTAGGGCGCATAAACGAGGGCATAAACAATAAGTAAGAAACTGCCAACCTACTCAAAATGTTACTTAATTCCCCCACAAAAATTGTAAAACTGCCTGCCTAAACAAAAGTTTAAGAACGCTGTCAAAATTTAGATTCCGCATTTAGCCGTATAAAATGGCCCAGCCAAAAATGTTTGGGGGCCATCTTTGGCTTGTTGGGGGTTTGTAATGCCCGGAATTAATTTATGACTGTTTCTTATTTCTGGAATGTTTTGCTTTAAGCGTTATACAATCGGCATGCAGGTGCGTCTGATTGCCCCTCACAGCCCCGACAATTGCGGATTAAATATGCGTCAAGGAATGAAAAACAAATGCGGCTGTCGGAGTAAAAATAAATTTAATTTAATGTTCGCAATGGCGCAGACAAAAAGCACTTTGTTGCTTGTCTGCAATGTTAATTGCGGCACGTTCCCAGCCCCTCCCCCACTTACGCCACATCCCCTCCCATTTGTGCAGCTCCTCACTTACCTGCACAGTCTTTTTCCTCCCCTTGATAACATCGGGATCATTTGTAATGTGCGCCTCGATTAGCAGGCGCAGCTTGTCGGTGACTTTGTTCTTGAATTTACTTAAATACGCCTCGTGGTCCTCGTTGTCCGGATCGATGGCCTCGCTGCTGGCGCTGCCAGGCACACTGCAACAATAACAATAACAACAATTATAATAACAACGGCAATAACAATTATGTGTCGCCAATTATATTAATGAGTCCCCCGTGCCGGGCTACTTACACTAGCGTCGTGTGATTATCCGTTGATAGGTTCATGGTCAGCTCATCTTTGATTTTGCGCAAACGTTCGCCGGCCTCCACATCGCGGCCGCTACACTGTGCAGCACGCTCCCGGAACACGGCCAGTATCTTCTCGCTGGAGTGTGCTGCTCGTCGAATTGTTGCGAATATCTGGTTAACTGCATTCGCTCTGATTCGCTGCTGCGATTCGTTCACTTACCCATGGCCCGCTGCACTTCCTGCTCGATTTGGGTGCGTCGCAGCAGCTGCACGCGGCGCAGCAAATCCCCATTTGTCGCGGTCACCAGATGTTGCAGCGATTTCTCCAGCAGCTGTTGCATCCGACGCGATTCCACCAGCCACTCATCCGCGGCCAGCGAGCTGCAATTTGACAGACAACAGAGTCAGTTGGGAGCTAAGTTAAGTTTCGAGCAGGCAGAATAAAAATAGGAAAAGGTTCCACTGAAAGGTGTGAAAATGGCTTCAAATCGAATTTTAAAAGCTGGGATAATAAAAAAAAGCATATTCACTGCGAGATCTCTTGGGAAGGGGATGAATACAAATCGCAAAATAAAAAACTACTTTATTTAAATAAATTACTTAATTAATTACATAATTTTATTAATTTCTGCTCCTACAGTTATAAGTATACATACGTCCCATAAAGAGTATTCAATAGTCGGTTAATTTGCGGCTAACTGCTTTGCCTTGCTTTATTCCTTGCCACCTTTTTATGGGCGCCTAATTTGATTATTCATTTAAAAGTTTTTCTTTAACTTGCGCTACTTAATGTATTCGGAAATTTATCATTTTATATTAAGTTAACCCTTTTTGGGCTTAATTTAATTTCAAATTTCAAGTTTTCCCTTTTATTTTTTGATTTTCATATGCAAAGAGGCAATCGCTTAATGCTCAATTTTATTTGTTGTCATTGAAAAAACCTTTGTTAAGTGCTCTTAACTTAATCAAAAGCAATCGCGAACTTTGAGTTAATAAGCATCAAGCGTGTTAATAGTAAAGTGTTCTTTTTTTTTCTTCTTCGAAAATTACTTGTAGTTGAGAAAGTGCTCATGGCATAATAACGACTTTTACACTTTCTATATATCGAATTGCGTGTCACGCGCTGTTGTGAGAAGCAATAAATGCTGAAGAACTCAAGAATTTCATTAAGCACAATCATAGCCATCAGCGTGAGAAATACAGCAAGCTAAAAGCCTTGAGCAGTACAAAGGATATCTAAAAATGTGCTGCCATCAAAGTGAATGCCTCCATTACAAAGGCGAAACATTAAGTTGCATATCCTCAGGGTAAGTGAAAACTTAAGCAAGACGAGGGCAAAAACAATCGCAGCAAGAAAAACAAACACTTTAAAGAAATGAACAAAAGAGCAGTAAATATATATGTTAGTCGTTAGCAGCGTTCTGTTATTGCACACCATGTTAACTAACAGAGCTCTCAATTTATGTAATTGCTGTTTAACTGCTTGCACAGCATTTGTATTCAAATTTCTGTAGCAAAAATGTATTACGAACTGAAACTCTTTAAAGGCTATATTTTTATCCCAAACAAACAGACAGATAATATATAAAACAATGACAAATAATATAAAAATGCGGCTCTTGCTAAATCCTTGGATATTTTAGAAATAATCTGTAATAGTTTTTCCATGGCCTTTTATGCATTTTGACAGCTTTCACATTTTGTATTTGCGAATAATCCGAATTTATTTGCCAGCATTTCCATTAGTTTATTTCTATTTATGTGATTTACTTCATTTGGTTTGGTATTTAGTTTATTTGAGATATTTTGTAAGTTTGCCTGCATTTCTTTATTTGCCAATTCTTTCATGCAGACATCAGCCTTAAGCATAATTGACGGCCGTCAAGTGTTGGCATTGGCCTTTTCACAATGCAACACGTCCAAACACCCTACGCCCCAAGCTGGCATTGTTGGCTTATGGGTTGTGCCAATATTTGCGCTGTGCAGCTGCAATTGAGTTGGCAAACAACGAGGACGCGAATATGCACAAGGCTAATTGTTCGGCTGGCCGACTTACCGATAGTCCTGTTTGAGCACCAACTGCGTTTCGGCGCCTGCCTTGGCATACCAGCGCCCAAGCAGCTCCATATCCTGCGCCGGCAGAGAGAGTGCCCCATAGATGTCCTCGTCGATGTGCGTGGGCAGCGGTGGGCGGCCAATGCCGTCGCCAATTAGCGCTAAAAAGAAGACGCTTTTCGAGTGGGCGTGGCACGTGTCAATCTCGTGCAGCAGATCCTGCAGCAAGTAGGGATCGCGTTCGAGCAGCGTCACATCCAAAGCACCCGTGCCAAAGTGCATGTCCACGATCTCCAGCTGTCAAGAGGGAGAAGGAGAGAGGGAGAGCGTGTGACCTGTGACCCCTTTATGCTCGCCAGCTGTCTTACCTCGATCTGACGATCATCATAGAGCCCCTGCAACTCGGGTCCGACCAGCTCGAGCAGCATGCGCCGCTCCTGATTGAACTCCTGCTTGAGGCTGGCCACATAGATCTTGATAAGCAGCGGCTTGGGCAGACGCGTCTGGGCGCTGGTCACGCCCCGCAGCGCATTCAGCACGCTCTCATCGACGGGCGCGGCCATTTTGGGCAAATGTTATGGCCAGAAGCGATGCGTTTGTTGACAACTCGGTTGGCCTTATTTATTGTTTACTTGCGTGCGAGTCTGTGCGTGTTTGCGTGTGTTTGTTTGTGTGTGTGTGTGCCCTGTTTATTTAACTTGGCCAAAATCAAGCGGCAACGTCGCCCTCGCGGCAGCTTCCAACAGCGCAAAGCATTGGCACATGTTCCACATCAATTCGCGAGTATCTTTCGTGCATGCACGCTGTATTTAATAGCTGCACATTTGTATCTATATATATTTCTGTAGCTGTATCTATAAGTGTAACTGGCACGCGAGGCAGAAATTGGAACAGTAACTGGGTGTTTGCAGTGCTTGCCACCAGCTCGACGCCGTCGCCAGTTGCCGCCAGTTGTGCATCCTCGATCTGGTGCCAAAGTTTACCCTTTACGGATTTTATTTTATATGTTGCCGCCTGTCGTTGCTGCAAATACAAATTGAAAAGAGTAAATGTATTTATGGTACGTCTAAAGCGGCGAGCGGGAAATTTATGTAAAAAACTGGTACTGGTAGCGCACACCCACACACACACACACACACACATGTGTGTGTGCATGCGACAAACGAGATGTTGGAAAAGTTTTTAGTGGAAATTGCTGTTTTATGATCAGCACTGACATGAGCTGGGGAATGTGTTAACAGTTGACTGCATTTTTGGATTGAAAAATTGAATCTAAAAAGTTGGTACGAAACAGTTCAAAGTTGTACTGAATTGCGTAAATGATTTGACAATAATATGTGGCACAGTTTTCCACCAGATTAGTATATTCAATAATTTGTATAAGAAGTAGGTCAACTGAAAAATAATTGAATTAAATCAACTTTAGAATTTAATTTGGCCTAAGAGTGCAGTTGAGTGTATTTTACTTGAGTAGAATATTATGTGGTCTGCGTGAATACTACAAAAATAAAATACTTTAACATATGAAGACATAACTGTTAAGACAGCAAAGTTTGTTATGTTAACTTCTTATACATGTTAGCCTAATAACAGAAAATGTCTCTAAGTACAGAGACGTTATCAGCTTATTTATGTATAAATTATGTTAACTTCTCTGTAGAATATACTACGTAATATTAACATCAATAGCTATGTTACAGAGAGGTAAGCTAGTTTACTTCTTTAATGATAATTAATGAATTAGTATTGCAATAACTATTTTGAGAGTGCCAAAACATTATCTCGCTCTGTTAAGTGTCTCTCTGAGTACAGGGATTTAAACAGCATGTTCTCATGTTATTTAACATTTAATTGAATATATTTATGCTTAGTTTTCTGTAGAATATACTCAGCAACAGCAGTATGGTACTATGTTAATGAGAGATTCGCTTGCTTACTCCTTTTATGATAGTAATAAATTAATATTGCAATAATCATTTCTGTAATCAATAATCGTGTCTCTTAGTGCAGAGACTTTAACAGCAAGTACTCATGTAATCTTAACATTTATTAAAGCAAATGATGTTAAGTTCTATGTAGAATATGCTCTGCAATATTAATTGCAATTGCTACGTTAATAAGAGTTAAGCTTATTCAGTTCTTTTATGATAATATACTAATTAATATTGCAATAATTACTTCTGACACTCTTTTAAAAATCATAAAAAATAGTTAATTAAATTTTTATATATTAAATGTATACAGCTACAATTATTATAATAACCCTTTAATCAATCAATATAATAACTCTTTATTGTAACCATATAATAATTAGTATTTTAATTACCACAAGTAAGTATTAAATTGTATACAAAAGTAGCGCATTTGTGGGGCTTGTTTTATATATAAAACAAAAAACATTTTAATGGAAAACCAATTTTCCCTCAATTGAAAGCTCTGTTCAAGAATTGTTGTTGTTGGCTTTACGGTCTGCTAAATAAACGTTAATAAATTGTAAATAAATGTTCTGATTTTCAAAGGCGCCAAATAAACGTGTAATCGTGTAGTTTTATGTGTTCGTAACTCAACGCGTTGGCTTTAATGTGCGCCCCAATAGAGTGAGGGACACAAAGGGGGCGGGGCATTTGGGTTCAGCAACAGTTAAAGCTTAGGTCCTGACACACACACACACACACACCGTGGACTAATGAAGACTCTGCGCGTTCTTCGGCTAACAAAATCGATTGCAATTAATTCCGCTTCAATGAGTTGGCTAAATTGCTCGTTTGAGTATTGGCCAGAGGAAGAGGAGCTGGCCTACAACCTGCTACTTGGCTTGGCCTTTTGTGTGTGTCGCAGTGTGTCACAGTATGTGTGTGAGTGTGTGTGTGTGTATCTAAATCAAAGGTGCGAATCCGGAGCGTGTATTCGCCCTGCGTAGGGCAACTGCAATTACCAAATCGGCCTTGCAATGCCAGCACACTTCACTAAACAGAACCCTCCCCCGCCGCCCCTCAATTCCATTTCAACAACCGCCCCCCCCCTTAAAGCCAATATACATTTAATGGCCAAACAAATTGCGCCTAATGAGCGCTGAGCCTGTGAATCAAAGCAGTTGCCTGTTCGATGATAATAATAATAATATGGCACAATACGATTTAAGAGTTTCAACATTCAGTGCCAAAAGTAAACGCACAGCCACAGAGCCAAGTTGAGCTATTGCCCAACAGACAATTATCTGGCCATAATAGAAGCGATCGTTATGCCGATTAACCCCATTATTAGGCAATTTCCTACATTTTGGCACAGACACAGCGAGAGAGACAGAGAGAATTCCGTCAGCAAGTTAGCCAGAGGGAAGCCCAGCAACAGGACATTCAAGGAGCAACAGTGGGTGCTGCAAATTAATGGCACCATGGCTCAAACATATGGCCCAAAACGCACACAAGCTGGCAAGTTATTACAGCTCGTTGTTGTTGTTGCTGTTGTTGTTGGTGGTGTGGCATTGTCCCCTGTTCTTATCAGCGGCCAGTTTGGACAGTTGCCGGTGTCAAATGACTTCCATTAGGGCAGCGGCCACGCCTTCCGCCTCAGCTGTTTCTGCCCCTGTTGCTGTCACTGTGTTTACTCTGGCCAACTGGCGGGGCCGTACAGCGAGTAAATATAGTTACGCATTGGCAAATGTTCGTTCAATTTCATTTTTAAATATTTACCAATTGTGCTGTGCGCAGCCTTGCAACAGTGCAGCTTGCCGCAGTTGCAACTTATAGACTTTGCGTCGACCCAATTGGCCAGCACATAACCATTTGGCACAATTTTGCACAGTTTGCACAGCCTTGCCCCCAATATGTGCCACAATTTCAATTTTGTGTCAGAGGCCAGGCCACATTACGGCACTTTAATTGAGGTTAGCATTTAGAGCCTTAAATAATTGGTGAGCTGCTATTATAAGACGTGATCTCTGTAAAAACTGTCAGTTGTTTTCCATTCCATTATTGAATGGAAAACTCATGTATCTATAGAAAAGTCGATATCTATATTCTGCTATATTATTTTCTAATTATCTATGCTACGAATATGTTCAACAGTAGATAAATATTTGAAAAATATTTGGAATGTATCTTAATTGAATGTTAATTGGACTAAGAAGTATAGCTATACCTTTTCTGTTCTTCGATAACTATATTCTGCTATATTATTTTCTAAATATCTATGCAACGAATATGTTCAACAGTAGATAAATATTTGAAATGTATCTATATTGAATGTGAATTGGACTAAGAAATATAGCTGTACATTTTCTTTTTAGGTTTTTTTCGTTTAGTTTTCAGTTATTTAATTAAACTATTAAAACATAAATATCGATAGAATATTCATTTGAGTATTAATAAGTATTAGTCTCAAGAAGAGAATATTCAACATAGAAAATATTGGAGATATATTTTATTTTGCTCTGCTTCTTAAAAGAACGCTATATACATTACGGAATATTTATATAATATTATCTTCTTATAATTTTTTCTACCTGAAGTCGGCAGAATTCCTTATTAATTAAAAAAATATATTAGAATTATAATATATTAAATATTATATAGCTTCATATGTTTTAGATAATTTCTGTACTATAATAACTCAATTTTTAGAGTCTAGCTTTAAGAAAATCTCTACCCCAAAACTATTAAAATGAAATGAGCTGATAAGGCGCACATAAAACTAAATAGAGCAGTTAAAATTGAAGGCAATTGCTCGCTTAAAAGACTTTAAAATTGTACATTAAGTGCTGCCATATCTGTGTGTGTGCTTTTATGTGTGCGTGTGTGTGTGTGTGTGTGTGTGTGTGTGTATCTTTAAACGTTGCTCTGATTGGGAAAAGTTACACAGTCATAACTTTTGGCCCCCGGGCGAGTTGCATAGTCGGGACGGAAGCGAGTAGGCCACAGAGTCGGGTTCTGGTTACGCCAAGGGATTTTGCGCTTTCTTTATGTGACTAAGTAAGGGCCAAGGAGAAGGGGGCCAAAGAGAAGGGGGGGGGGGGGGGGGAGGGGGCGAAACCGAAAATAAAATATTGGTTGTGACGCGCCGCGCATAAATAAATTAATGGTAATAAGTCAAAGGCCGCAACAGGCTGGCAGCAGCAGCAACGGAAGCAAAAGGAACATGCCCCAAGATGTTGCACAGGCGGGGAGCAGGTGGTGTGCACACACACAAAGGAGCCCAACCCTGGAATGGCAAACAACAAATGGGCAGAGGGGGCTGAGGTGTAGCAATGTAATGGTCGAAAAAAACGCAAATTCAGCAAATAAACAATGTGGCAGCATTTTAGACGCAGGCAACAGCAACAACAACAACAACAACAGGCGGAACGTGCAACGTATGTGGCGGGCACTCATGCCGATTGCGTGGCATTAATATTAAATGCGTCGCAGCATATGTCTGACTGTGTGTGTTAGATACACACCAATACACACACAGACACACTCCCAACGCTTAGCTGCCCGTTTTTCTTATAAATATTTAAGCCAAATTCCGACATCCAAAATTAGAGCAGTTGCTATTCATTTGCGCTCGCTGCCTGCAACGCTTGCGTATTCTTCCAACTAACACACCCGCAACCTCCCTCTCGCCCCCTACCTCCCCTCTCGCCGCCTCCTCCCACCCTTATAATAAACAAGTTTCTAAGGCTTTATGGCCTGCATTTATATGCCAGGCCAGAATAAACTTGCGAGTCGGCTTTGTTGCCTCAAAATTGTCGAACAGACGCCCAAAAAGTATGCCATGAATGTGTTTTTGTTGTTTTTATATACCCTATAGAAATGCTTGAAGGGTGCAACATAAACTTGTCTATTTCTGACCCGATTTTAAAGGGTATGTATATACAAATATATATATATATATATATATATATATATATATATATATTTGTGGAGTAGATCTTAGCAATGCATATATCCTAGGTTTATTTGTCGCATTGCTTATGGTTCTGTCTGTCTCTCTCTCTGTCTCTGTCTGTTTCTCTCCCCATCTCTCCCTCTATTTCTTTACTC